GGAAATGGGAGACCAGGAGCAAGAGCTAAAGGGCTGCAGGGCCTCTTGTCAGGCAGGAAGCAAACAGGAGATGGATATTGATTTCTGCTGAACTGAGTCACAAGGCTTTGCAGAGGAGCCAAGATGTTGCTTCAGACTTTGAAAAATGTTGGCATCAACGCTCGCGCTATCGCTGGATGCTCACGACAGATGATGGCTCTTGATGCGGAGAAGGGAGAAGGATCTTTCAGCTGTCTATGCTCTTTCTGCGTGTAACTGAGACCCGGTGGTCACCTCCCTCTTTCTAGTCTGGCTGCCTTCTCTGCCATAGCTCCAGAATAAATGAACACCCTTGAGTCCGACACTCAGAGCAAGCAATGGCCTCCTGCCACCCCTGTGCTGCGTGTCCAAACGCACCTCGCTCCCTCTCCACAAAGGGGCTCCAATGTGGAGTCTGATGAAAAGGAATTCTCTTGTTTTGCTTTAGAGTTTTATTGTATTATCTATCTATCTATCTATCTATCCATCTATCTATCTATCATCTAATCTACCTACCTACCTATCTGCAGTGCCAAACATGATAGTTTAATGTTGACTAGTTCAGAACTTTATAGAAATGGAACCATATGGTATATCTTGGTGTCTTTCTCCTTACCGTTATATTATTTGAAAAGATTTTTTTCATATCATTTCAAGCAGCTGTGGCGTCTCCATTATCTGTCTCACTATAAACTATTCCAGAGGTACACCATACTTTATTTCTCTTTTATTTGATGGGTATTTGCTTTGTCTCTAATTTGGTGCTATTATACTCAATGGCATTATAAATGTCCTTTCATGTGTATTATGGTACACATAATTGTATACGTATGTAGGGCATGTACTCAGAATGGAATTTCCAGGTTACAAGGGATAAAAAACTTCATTTTACCAGTGAAAGGCACATCTCACCAGAGCGTGATGAGAATTTCCGGTACTTCACATCCTCGCTAACCTGATATTGTCAGTGTTTTTAGTTTTTGCCAGTCTGGTGGGTAAATATTTATGTCTCAGTGTGGTTTAAATTACTTACTTGCTCATGCTTTTTTTAAATGTATATTTAGATCTAGTTTTTTTTTAAGATTTATTTATTTATTTGAAAGTCAGAATTACAGAGAGGCAGAGGCTGAGTGAGAGAGAGAGAGGTCTCCCATGTGCTGGTTCACTCCACAGATGGCCGCAGTGGCTGGAGCTGCACAGATCTGAAGCTGGGAGCCAGGAGCTTCCTCTGGATCTTCCATGTGGGTGCAGGGGCCCAAGGACTTGGGCCATCTTATACTGCTTTTCCAGGCCATAGCAGAGAGCTGGATCGGAAGTGGAGTAGCCAGGACTTGAACTGCAGGCAGCAGCTTTACCTGCTACGCCACAGCACTGGCCCTGCTCATGCTTTTTAATGAGATTAAACACCTCTTTTCATGTCTCATGATCATTCGGGTAACTTTTTTCCTAAGTCAAGTATTGCTCATTTTGTATTTGTGTTGCCTTTGTCCTACTGAACCATGTGAGTGTTCACTATTCTAAGTATTAGGTCTTTATCAGTTACAAATGTTGTGAATGTAATTTGTCTTTTCACATTTTTTTTATGTCTTTTGGTGAAAAAAATTTCCACTTTTAAATAATCAATCTTATCAGCATTTTCCTTTATGAACAGTAATCTTGTGCTTTATTTACAAGCTCCTTTCTTTCCCTGATATGTTAAAATATTCCTTATATTGTTTCTTCAAAGTTTCTTTGTCTTTTGTGCTTAGATGTATAATTTAGATCCTCCTGGAACTCATTTTACACATAATCCAATAGTCATTCATCTTAATTTTTCTCATATAAATGCCCAATTCCCTAGCATCATTCATTGCAAAGAATATCCTTTCCCAATTCTTTTAAAATGCTATTAATGAAATAAATCAAACTTTCCTGTATGTGGCCATTTATCTCTCACTCTCTTTCTCTCTCTGGCCTCTTTATATTACATTTGTATTGTTTATTTGAGAGGGAGAAAGAAGGAGGGAGGAGCGAGATGGGCAGAGAGAGAAAGAGAGAGTGACAGAAGAGTGCACTCCCATCCATGGGTTCCCTCCCCAGATTTGCACCATGGCTGCGGCTAGACTATTTTTTCTATTCCACATTTCAGTGTGTCTGCTTTAGAGCTAATAACACAGCCCCATCACTATCACTTCATGATAAGCTTTGATATATGGTTGGTCAAACTCTCCCACTGTTTTTCTTCTTAGTTAAGAATGTCTTGGCTATTTTTTTTTTAAATTTATTTTATTTATTTGAAAGACAGAATTACAGAGAGAGGTAGAGACAGAGAGAGAGGTCTTCCACCTGCTGGTTCACTCCCCAGATGGCTTAAATGGCCGGAACTGTGCCGATCTGAAGCCAGGATCCAGGAGCTTCTTCCAGGTCTCCCACAAGGGTGCAGGGGCCCAAGGACTTGGGGCCATCTTTTACTGCCTTCCCAGGCCACAGCAGAGAGCTGGATTGGAAGAGGAGCAGCCGGGACTAGAACTGGTGCCCATATGGGATGCCGGCACTTCAGGCCAGGGCTTTAACCCACTGCGCCACAGCGCCAGCCCCTTGGCTATTCTTTTTTTTTTTTTTTAACTTTTATTTAGTAAATATAAATTTCCAAAGTAGTTTATGGATTACAATGGCTTCCCCCCAACTCGCACCCCTCCCATCTCCCGCTCCCTCTCCCATTCCATGCACATCAAGATTCATTTTCAATTATCTTTATATACAAAAAATCAATTTAGTATATGTTAAGTAAAGATTTCATCAGTTTGCACCCACACAGAAACACAGAGTGTAAAATACTGTTTCAGTACTAGTTATAGCATTACTTCACATCGGACAACACATTAAGGGCAGATCCCACATGAGGAGTAAGTACACAGTGACTCCTGTTGTTGACTTAACAATTTGACACTCTTGTTTATGGTGTCAGTAATCTCCCTAGGCTCTAGTCATGAGTTGCCAAGGCTATGGAAGCCTTTTGAGTTTGCTGACTTCGATCTTATTCAGACAGGGCCTTAGTCAAAGTGGAAGTTCCCTCCTCCCTCCAGAGAAAGGCACCTCCTTCTTTGATGGCCCCGTTCTTTCCACTGGGATCTCACTCGCAGAGATCTTTCATTTAGGTCTTCTTTTTTTTTTTTTTTCCCCAGAGTGTCTTGGCTTTCCATGCTTGAAATACTCTCATGGGCTCTTCAGCCAGATCCGAATGCCTTAAGGGCTGATTCTGAGGCCAGAGTGCTATTTAGGACATCTGCCATTCTATGAGTCTGCTGTGTATCTCGCTTCCCATGTTGGATCATTCTCTCCCTTTGTGATTCTATCAGTTAGTATTAGCAGACACAAAAGTATTCTTAATAGTTTTCACTTCCCTATAAATCTTAGAGGTACTTTGTCACAGTCTCCAAAATTCCTGTTATCAGCTTGATTGGCATTGCACTGAATCTTTATAGTTCCATTTTAGAAGAGTTGATTAGTTTGTGATATTAGTCTTCCAAATAACAATCATGATGTTTTTAATATTTAATTTGTTTTTCTTTAATATTTCTTAATAGTATTATGGTTTCTCCACAGACAGTTGCACACATTTGTGAATTTATTCCTAGAAACCTCATCTTTTAAGGTATTATAAATAACAAAAATTAATTTTCTACTTATTGCTAATTTGTGGAAATGATATTGATTTCTGTATATTGAGTTTATGTCCTGAAACCTTATTAAACTTTCTGGTTAATTCTAATAATTTATCTGCATATTATTTTGGATGTTCCACTGTGTAATTATATCACTACTGTCAGTTTTTATTATTCATTGCCAAGCCATATATCATTTGTCTTATTTTTTTTTCTTACTTTCCTGCTTCCAGTGGTGTCTCAGTGCAATGCTAAAAGAAGTGATGATGCTGGCATTCTCCACTGCTGCTTTATTTCAAAGGGAACCCCTTCAAAGTTTCACCTTCAAAGTTGCCACCAGTTAGGTGTTTTGTGCATACATTTCAGAGTTTTAGGGAATTTCCTTATATTCCACACTTGCAAATATATTTTATCATGCCTGAAGGCTGAACAATTTTGTCAGGCATTTTTCTTGCATCTATCAAATTGATAATGTTATTTTTACCCTGTAATCTATTAAGGTAATGAGTTGGATAATTTTCTAATATTAAGCCGACATTGCCTTCCTGGCATAAATCCAGTTTGATCATATCTGCTGGCTTCATTATATTCATTTTTTAAAAGTTTTATTTAATGAATACAATTTTCATAGGTACAACCTTAGGAATATAGTGGTTTTTCTCCCCATACCCACCCTCCCACCCTCCACTCCTGTCCCACCACCTACTCCCTCTCCCATCCCATTCTTCATTAAGATTCATTTTTAATTAACTTTATATACAGGAAACCCACTCTATATTAAGTAAAGATTTCAACAGTTTGCACACACACACACACATACACACACAACATAGACAGAACTGTTTGAGAACGAGTTTTGCAGTTAATTCTCATAATACAACTTATTAAGGACAGAGGTCCTACATGGGGAGTAGGTGCACAGTGACTCCTGTTGTTAATTTAACAATTAACACTCTTATTTACAGCCTCATGATATTCTGCTAAATTCGATTGCCGGTATTTTTTTCAAAGTTTTGTATTTATTTTCATGGCAAAATTGACTTGTAGTTTTCATTCTTGCAATGTCTGTAGGGTTTTTGTTTTAAGGTTTTTTTTTTTTTTTTCTCTAATAAATCATCTTAGAAGTCACTGTTTTCTGTACTCCTAGAGAGATTGTAAAATGAGAGTTGAGAGAGCTCACCGACGAAAGCATATTCTTTCTTTGGTAGTGATGGTGCCATCCGGATTTTCTGTGTCTTTTTGCATCAACTTTAGCCAATTGTCCAGTTATTATTTTCCGTTGCTTAGACACAACTTGCCATAACATTCTCTTCCCGTCTCCCCCCAGCCCCAGGGAGCGTGGTGGCAGCCTCGGAGCCTCGCTGCCGATCTGTGCTTTCTCCTTCTCCTCCTTTGCCCAGTCTCAGCAGAGGCTGACTCATTTCATTAGTTTCCCAAGAATGGAATTTTATCTTTGTTGAGACTTTTTGTTACGTTTGTTTTCCATTAATTTCACTTCTACTCTTCTTGTCTTTCTTCTACTTCCTTTGTGTTTATTTTCGTGAATTTTTCTACCTTCATGAGAAGGATGCTTTGTTTACTGGTTTCCCCTTAAGTATTGTTTCATCTGGGCCGGCACCGCGGCTCACTAGGCTAATCCTCCGCCTGCGGCGCCGGCACCGCAGGTTCTAGTCCCGGTCGGGGCACCGGATTCTGTCCCGGTTGCCCTCTTCCAGTCCAGCTCTCCGCTGTGGCCTGGGAAGGCAGTGGAGGATGGCCCAGGTCCTTGGGCCCTGCACCCCATGGGAGACCAGGATAAGTACCTGGCTCCTGGCTTCGGATCAGCACGGTGCGCTGGCCGCAGCGCGCTGGCTACAGTGGCCATTGGGGGGTGAACCAACGGTAAAGCAAGACCTTTCTCTCTTTCTCTCTCTCTCACTGTCTACTCTACCTGTCAAAAAAAAAAAAAAAGTATTGTTTCATCTGTATCCCACACATGTTGCTATGTAATACTTCTATTAGTTTTTCAGCAAGTTTTGTCTGGTTTGACCATAAGTTCCTTGGTCTATATATTTCTGAATTTCCACTCCTCTGGGAATTTTCTAGTTATCATCCTACTCTTGAGTTCAAGCATAATTGCATTGTGATCAGAAAAACCAGCTGCGTGAGCTGAATCTTGTGGAAGACTGGAAGCTTGCATTACAGCCTGGTAAGTGATCAGCTTCGGTAACTGCATCCCGTGTGCTTGGGACAAACGCTCACTTAGGGCTGGGAGAGTGAAGTTGTTCAAATTGTCCAGATCACTCCTAAATTTTGTCTGCTTTAATCATTGGAATCATCTGTAATAAAATTCCCCACCATGGCTGTGGATTTTCTGTTTGTCTTAGAGTTCTGGAAGCTATTTAAATTATTATTTTGAAAACATGTTTTTAAAGGCATAGAAATTTAGAATTATTATTTTACTTTAATAAACTAAAGCACTTATTGTTACAAAATGTTCCTATTTCATGCTATTAATATTTTTGATCTTAAAGTTGCTTTAGTCTTTTAGTCTTTATATTAATATAGGCAACCAACTTTCTTTGGGTTACCATTTCTGTGGAATACTTTGGACTATTTTTTTATTTTCAAACTTTCTGTATCTTTGTGTTTTAGGTATGCCATTTGTAAATTACATAGTTATTTAAAAAAACTGGTCTAAAAATCCTTGATTATTATCAGGAACATTTAATCTCTTCCCATTTATTATAATTACTTATATATTTGGATTAAAAAAATCTGCCAGCTTCGTATGTACTTTCTATTTGTCCCAGCTGTTCCATGTTTCTGTATCTCCCTCTTCTTGCCTTATTTTGGATGGTTTGAGTGGTTTTCTTTATTTTTAAGTGATAGACAAAAACTGTACAGATAAATTCCTGTGTTATTGCAGCACTATTCACAATAGCCAAAATGCAGAATCAACCAAAATATCCATCAACAGATGAATGGGCAAAGAAATTGGGCATATATCCACAATGAAATCGTATTCAGCCATAAAAGATGAAATTCTGTCATTTGCAACAATATGGATGAAACAAGATGAAATGAGGCAGACAGAGAAAGACAAGTGCCACATGTTCTCATTCATACATGGAAAATACAATAGCTGATGTCACAGAAGTAGAGAACAGAATAGGTATTATCAGAGGCTGGGCAGTATGGGAGCATAGAAGGCTAGGGAAAGTTTGAGTGATTTTATCATCCAATTTTCGTTCTTTTTTAGTTTGAAATTTTACCCTTCATATTTGTATTCTTTAAGTGATTACGCTGGTATGATAACATGCATTCTTAGGTATCAATGTCTAATCTTAATCCAATTTTACCATCATTCATGGTAATTCAAGGACGCTGAAACAACTGAACTTGGTTCAGTCCCCTGCAGATGTCATTGTTTTGTGCAGGACTATTAATGTGGAGTAACCTCTTTGCAACTGCTTTACAAAAAACTGTAAGACTGTCCACTTTAACCTTCAACAAGCCAGGATTTGCACTTAAAAGTGTAAACTGGGCCAGCCCTGCTGTGGATAGCAGAGTCTTAGAATGCAATTATAGATAAATGAGGCATGGATTTTCATATTTCAAAAAAAATCCAGGAGGTTGGCACCTGAACAGTTGGAGCCATCTTTTTTCAATCAAATATAATTGAAAATCTTTTGGGAACACTAGTAGATCAGCATTTAAGATGAGTTACACTCAAATGGTGACAAAAAACAAGAACTGGAGCTGCCAACGGGTCTACTGCTCACGCATGATTCTAGAGGAGCAGAATCACTTTTATTTTTTGCTAAAAATACATGTGCTTTGCTGTTGCCTCAGCAGACCCAGGCTTGGGGTCCTTTGTGACAGTGTGGGTGCTGAAGGCAGAGGCAAGGTCATTTCTGTTTTCAGAGGTGTTGGAATGAAGCTAGGAAGGAAAGTTAAGATGCATGTAGGTCTCGTTTAAAAGGGACACTTTATTTTTCACAATTAATCACAAATGAAAGCCATTAGAAAGTTATTACCACTTTCTGCGGGAAAAAAGGTAGGAGATGTTGCTTGGTGAAATTAAATTTCAATTAAATTATGCTCCACATATGTTCTGAAAGCGTAGAAGTTTTAACATTCATATTTCATTTAGTTCAGCAAAGTGGGAACACTTTTTTCTAATGTGGCTGAATATATTAAACATACCTCCTCTTGTTATCCTAAATTTCCACCTGTCCCTGAAACGTGGTGATAATGTAAGCAGAGGTCTTTGACATCTTACTGCAGAAATAAGTCCCCATGGTTTGTAAACCACCCTGCTGGCTTCTCTGACCCCGTTTGAGCATCAAAAGCTACAAACAGTGGCGTCATAGCCCTAAACTTCTAATTTCCTCTGAGACCTCAAACTATATCTCCCGGCTGGGTAATGATATTTATGAGTTCACAGTGAAAGATAGGGAAGTCACACTAACGCAAAAATGACTCAGCAACAAGGCGCTGAGTCATTGATCCCGGGGAAAAGAATTCCAGAAGTTCTCACTCAGGATGTCACTGAAACCGACACAGCCTGTGTCTGTGAGGAGCCTCCACGCCAGCCTTATGTTGTCCCCATTTACGGATGAGACCGTGGACACCCAGACACAGGAAATAATTTGCTTAAGGTCATAAGACTAATAATGACCAGTGTTCCCATAATATTTAAATTATGCTTCCCCACGCTCAGCAAATACACGGAGATGCGGATTCCTGATTCATTCCACGCAAAACGAGGTTCATATTAACGGCAGCTTATCCTGCAGCAGCCTGGCCCACCATCTCCCCGACCTCCAGCCCACAGTCCCACCACTACAGCGCGCCATTCACAGATCTGAGCGCACGAAGCCCCTCATTTCATCCTCTCCTTCACATTAGGAGTTGATTGATGGCTGAGGTAGGCATGTGACATCTTTTGCAGACCAGAACTTGACAGAGATGGAAAGCATCTGTCAGGAGACCCTGGGCCTCCTGTACGGCTGTCTAGGACGCTCGCCAGATTTTGCTCTGTTAATTGGCTTCTGTGCAGGCAACTATTTTGGCAACAATTCCACGGGTCTTCTGTGGCACATCTTGATTTAAAGTGAAATGCTGAAAAGCACTTCCCGACCACTGACAGCTTCCAGGGTTGCTCAAGTTTTGCTGATTGCAAAGAAGGAGGCAGTCTTCAAAAACAGTCATGTTGATGTAAAACCAGATGAATGAGGCCCCTCAAATTCTGAGAGCAATTCCTCAGAGGGGTGGCCTCCAAGGAGTCTGATTCTGCCCAAACAGACTCTTTTCCTAAGGTCAAGTGGAATCGGAAGGGCAGTTTATGGCAAACATTCCACTATGACTTTACACATGCACTTTGAGTTGACCCCATAAAGGAAAATGAATTGCAATTAAAATATACTGAAAATTTTAATGACTGCACTAACAGTAGATGGGAGAAAGAGAGAGAGAGAGAGAGAGAGAGAGAGAGAGAGAGAGAAGAGAGAGATAAACTCTGAATAATTCTGGGAAGGAGGATTTTGCCAAGGAGATTTTAATGTCAAGAATGTATGTGATGCTAAAAATAAGGCGCTCACACGCATCCCAGAGCCGTGGGTGGGGATGTATACATAATCAAATTAAATTATTCCATTTCCACTTATGGAAAAACCTGATGGAAGAAATTGGCTGGAAACCATTTAGTCATATTTCACTCGGATTCCACTTATAAATACCAAACTCCAGTTCTGTCAAAACAAGCCCCACCAGCATTTCCCGGCTGGGGTTTCAGATAGACAAAGGCTGCAACATGCAGAAGGGATAAAGAGGAGATAGCAACATCAAGCCTGGAAAAGCCACAGGGATTCGGCTCCCAGCTAAAGAGAGGGCTGCAGGCGCTCAAGTGGGAAGAAGCGTCCCTGAGGTGCGAGGGAGGGAGCGCAGTGTGGCCCGAAGGTTGGATGTAGAGGGAGGAGCCTGCAGAGAGCTTCAAAGACAAGTGAGTTCCAGGTCTCAGCTCTCTGATATCGGAGGGCAGGGCGCCATGGCTTCTTAGCACAATTTTTTTTCCCTATCAGAGAAAATATCCTTCAATTTCAATCTTGTTCGGGGGGCCGGCAGTTGTGCTCTTTGTGCAAATCATTTGTTGATACAATGGGAGTGTGAACTTGACTGCTGCCAACACACCCATCTGCAAAGCAGGCTATCTGCAGAGGAGGTGCAAAGAGCCAATGCCTGGAAATGGATTTGTTGGCATTATAAGGACAAGCATCTTGGCTACAGTCACCAAAGCTCCAATCCAAAGCTTGTGGAAAAAAAAAAACCTCTAGACTTGGTTAAGTCTTTTATTTACTCCTTAAACTGTAATTAGAAAACTAATGTATAACCTTGCTTGTTTTATCCCCTCAGCATGTCTGTCTCCTCAGCTCCTCTGAGCCAGGACCATGGGCCAATGATGTCTCTGCCCATTGTATTCAGGTGCTCACAGTAGGAAGGAGAGCTGAAAATGGTGAGGAAGGGAAGGGGCAGGGTGTTTCCTGGCTGGCTTTATTCGAATAGCTGGTGAGTTTTTGCGGGCCAGTACTTGTCAATGCAGGTGAAACATCTGGCTGGAATGTCTGCCTCGTGCTGTGCCCAAGTGATGACGAGATCAGGGTGGAGAAGTCAGCTCAGGCTCCATGCACGTGCCCAAGCCGACGGCAGGGACTCAGGTGAGCTGAGGGGGTTCGGTGTGGCACTGTCACTGCTCCAGGCTCTAGAGGAATTCTGGCTTGGCCAGAGTCTGCATCTCATGCCTCTCAGTTCTCTCCCGGCAGGTCATTCTGGAATCCTGTGACCTCCGCTCCCTAGAGAAAGTCGGAATAAAGGAGGGAAGGAAAACATTTGCCCTGGTGAAAGTGATTACAGACGTTAAGAGAGAATGCTTATGGAGAACACAGTAAAAATCTGACAGGTATATAGGCACGTCTATGTGACACTCGCACCTTTCTCCTCCATCCTCTTCACCAAAGCCCTGACCAACAGGTAGACATACTATTAGCCCCACTTTACAGATGAGGAAAGTGAGATTTGTGGAGGTTAAATGACTTGCATGGCCACACATAGCTGTAAATAGGCAATGGCAAAAATTGAATCTCAGCTGTTGGCATTAACCCACAAGCCTTAAACCATTCTATCTCCTGTGAATTTCAGCACCTTCTCTCTGTAGCTTTTGCAGGAAAACAACTGAAAAATGGCAGAACAATAGTAGTTGTTGGGAGGATTTAACTTCAGCTGTGTTACTAATTATTTATATAATCCCAGCAGGGTCACTAAACCTCCATGAGCCTTATTTCACTAACCTGTAAAATGGTAATAAAACTCTATGTCTTGCTATCACTCAGGATTATATTGAAGAGGTTCACATGGAGATTTAAATGAAAGAAAGATCTAAATGTGTCATGATTAAGGTGGTTGTTGTAGGAGGTGATATTGTCTAGGAAAAAGGGCATTGGCCACAGTCTGGGGCTGGGCTTGAATTTGTCACTCTAGCGAAATCCTTTGACTCTCAAGTATTTCATATATAAAATGGGGATTCTGCAGCCTGCCATAGTTTTGAATAAGGAACATACACTTTAGAATTCAAGTGTGGTGGTTGACAGTGTTCAACTCAAGCAAGAGCACCTCTTACCTAAAAGGGAAACAGACGGTGCTGCTGAAGACACAGTAGATGAGGGGGTTGATGGCACTATTCAGTGCCGGCAGGTTCTGGATGATCACAGAGGCATAGAAACGCTCCTTGGTGTTTGGAAGGAAGTTGAAATTATCCAAAATGTCAAAGAGGAAATATGGACTCCAACAGCAGATGAAGGCTAGGGGAGAAGAGGGTCATTAGCATCACGGCAGGCCAGAGCTCAGGGGCCTCTCCTGGTTGGCCACGACTGGAGTTTCAATCAATGAGTTCTTTGGCACCTGGGAGCTCTCAGAAATGTGAGAGTTGGGATAGGCTAAGGCTATTGTGTGTGCTGGCCTGGTTGGTGAGTTTACTTAAACCCACACATACATTTAAGTACAAACATACATACTGCAGTTTTTCTGCAGCGAAGGGCCTGGTTTTTCACTGTTGTTATTTCTTTACTGAAAGCCTGGAACTGCAGGATATGGCTACAGTTTCTCACCTAATACAATGCTGAGGAAAACCCAATAAATTCCTCTGGAAAATCTCTGGGAAAGAATGACAAATGTTTGACCAGATAATGACTTCAGGTTTTAGGGTATGGCAGGGGAAAGGGATGATCTCAATATTTTCAAAGCACAGCACCGTTTAATTACAATGTTCTCCATTTTCTTTTTCATAATTAAGAGTCTTTCAAGACAACATCCACTCAATCTCCACTGCAAATCAACTGGATCGTGTGACTTGGATTCTGTTTGATTCAAAGAAAATGATGACCTGGAGTGGGATGGTTAATTTACTGTGTTAATTTGACTGGGCCAACAGGATGCCCAGATATTTGGTTAACATTTTTTGTGGATGTATCTGTAAGTGTGTTCTAAGGGTGTATCCAGGTGAGATTAAGGTTTGAATCAGTAAAGTGACAAAAGTAGATTGTTCTCTCCAGTGTGGGTGAACTTCTTCCAATTTGTTGAAGACTTGAATAGAAGAAAAATGCTGAGTGTGAGAGAGGTTTCATTCTTTCTGATTAACTCTCTGAACTGCGACATTTATCTTCTGCTTTACCTTTGGATTCAGACTGGAACTTCAACTTTCCTAGTTCTCAGAACTTTCAACTCAAACTTGGACTAGAGTTCACACTGTTGGCTTCCCTGGATCTCTCGATCATCAGCTGTAGAGTTTGGGGCTTCTCATCCTTCATAATAATGTGAGCCAATTCCTGCTAATAAATCAGCATCTAACTGAATCTAACCCAATCAATGATCTGATCTAATTTAATCTGGTTATCCATCTTTCTGTGTATCTATCATCTATCTGTGTCTATCTATTTGTATCTACTTCCTATCTATATCTACAGTATCCTATTTATCTGGAAAGCCTAGACTACTTCATGTTAATAAATCTGTATCTTTTTCTATCTATCTATCTATCTATCTATCTCTACCATCTATTTATTATTATATCTATTTATTTGGAAAACCTAGACTAATATACAAAGCTACACACTCTTGGTTGACTGAATGTGCACATACAGTTCCATATTCTCTTACCATAGTATCTGTCCCCTCCTTTGTCACTTTCCTCAACCATAGGATTTTTCCTCAAAGTAGAAGTTTGGCTTCCTTGGACACCTGCAATGGGTATTCTATAACTTGCTGGGGAGTTTGTAACTGACTTCTGGCTTTCCCCAAGGCCTTGGCAATGTACTAAACCAGAGAAATTCAAACACAAAAATCACTATGTATCTGGATCTGGGTGGTTAATTCCAACACTGGAACAAAAGCGTGCTTCTGGGGCACAGAGAGGTAAAATTGCCTGGTTTGCTTGTGTACTGGCACTTGTATGTGATGAGTAGAGGTTTGGTTGTCTTGAGAATGCCAGTCCTGTGTGGCACAGGTATCCCAGCCAACAAAGACTTGTCCACACCTCACACATCCTTTGAATACCTTGTTTATAATTTTCTCAGTGTGGAAATCTGTTTTATCAATGAAAACATAATACTGAACTTTCCAGAAATGCAATTCCCTTGTAAATGGAGGAAAGATTACTTTTTAAATTTAGAACATTACCACTTTTTTGTTTACCTGCTCAGAAACTCAAGCCATTGACAGCAGTATTGGTTATATTTCTTATGTTTCCATGAAAATACACTATGCTGCTCTTCCTTTGTGGCTGTTACATAGTGCTGGGTATAAGCACCTGACTGCTTCTTTATTCCTCTAGTGTATGTATGCTCAAGTATTTACACATGAAAATCGGTATTGTTTTAATATGAATTATTTTATTGCTATTCTTCCTTTACATTATTGGGAAGCACATTGTTTCTGAAGAATGGTGATGGGTAAGCAGCATTGTGCACTTTTATACAGTTCATTTCAGGATGCAATATCTGTTATAGAGAGGGCCATTGTGTTCTGATAGAAATGTTGACACTTGCTGACCCTCCTGTGGGCATCCTGCTTAAAGATGGAACGGATCCCACAGGGCCTGCGATATGGTTTCTGCTAAAAGGACTGTGCAGACCCTGGTACACATGTACAAGCATGCACTTCCTGGTCAACACCCAGGGAATGTGTATCTGTAATTCTGACTGGGAAGGCAAAAGAGTCTTTGATCCACCTTAGAAGGCTGTGAGAACGACTTCTCAGAGCCCTGGTGGGTTGTGGCTGCTTTTCGCTCTGTCAGCTTGCAGTCTTGCTTTGTGCCTATATGCTGCTGGCTGAGTCACACCGCGAGTGGTCTGTCTGGCATTTCACAGCTACGCTTCAGAAAGGGAAGATGGACGGTTCTACTAATTTGAGATGCAGCAAATGTGAGAGCTGTACTTTCTCAAGCTTTCAAGAGCTGCTGGAGGGGCCGAGAGGCAGGTATCTGAGCTAAGTGGAAAGCACAGTGCCTTTCCTTTTTACATATCTTCATCCAGTCATTCATTCATTTAACCAACATCAATTGAGTGGTGAGTGCATGACCTTATTTTAGATGCTGGAAATAATGGCATAAGACAAAAGCAAGGTCATTCTTCCCATGAATTTATTATTCCAGCAGAAGAGCTAGACAATAGAATATCAATATAAATCCTATAGTGCCAGGTAAAAGTAGGAGCCATGAAGAAAACTAGGTAGTGTGAGACTAGAGAAGGACTACTTACAAAGACTTGTGGAGGAGGTCCCAGGGAGGTGGCCTTGTTGGGGAACAGAATGAGGCAAGGGAGTAAGCCATGCAACAGGCTGGGGTTCAATGCAGCAAGAGTGTATACTGACAAGAGAAAGGCAAAGGAGGGGCAGAGACATGGGGGTGGAAGGGCAGATAAGGGAACCAAAAGGGAGGGACTTGCAGTGACCTTGAAATCAAATATTCAGAAGAAACGGAATGCATTTCTATCTTCTCTTTGCTCATGAACTTCAGTCATGGAAAAGAGTGTGTCTTCAAAGATGAAACTGAGTCTTAGGGTGATGTAAACATCAGCTTTAAAGAGGAAGGTCCTAATTCGATTTTCTCTAAATTATCCAAACCATAGCCTTGGTGAACAACTATGTTCATAAGGAGAGGGATTAGGAACAAAAATATCCACCCTTCCAGGAGTCACAGATAGACTCATACATTTCCCCCACCTTCCTTTCCAATTTGACAAAGGTAGAAGTGCCAATAGACAAATTCCTTTCTCACGTGGGCTTTCTGCCACTAGGTGCAAGTTGGGCTTTGGCGTGTTCACACAGTTCTGCAACAGAGGGAGGGATATTGCTTACCAAGAATGATGGCGGCACTATACTTGACAGCTTTGATTTTTGCCTTCGAGATGAGCCCTCGGTTGTAGCTGGTGCACAGTTTCCCATCTGCATATACGATAGGGGAACAGTAAAACGAAATGCTCATGATGCCACAATTTATGTTTAGGCCAAGAGGAACGTCGAGGATCACACCCACAGTTTTCACAGGGACAGCCCCACTTATAGCCTGCTCGCCATGTCCAGAAAGTCCTTTGCAGACAACTGCAGGGTGAACACAGCTCTGGGCTGGTTGTTAGAAACTGCCCAGTTTGCAACTTCATGTAAGGTGCAAGTGCTAGAAGATGCCCATACTCTCTCAGGAGAGTTGGTCAGATAGCTTGATCCGTTTGCAGCTGGAACTAGATCATGGGACCACGGAGGGACTGAGGCTTTCTCCAGGCAGGGCTGTTCTCTGAGCTCCCGACTATATGGTGACACCCATACTGTTGCTTCAGCAACCTGAGAAAAGTTATTTTCTTAGAATAACTGCCCCAGATCAACTCATTCATCTAACTCAGAGACTCCACTCTCAATGAAAGCTCAAGCCAAGGCTAACAAAATAGCTGTCCCAAAATGGGAGCCTGGGATTAAATGTAATCACACTGGGGCTGTCATTGGAAGGTGAGACACCTGAGAGGTGAATATAGGAACCCAGTGGAGGCCCAGCACTGTGGCACAGCAGGTTAAGCTGCCACCTGTGATCCTGGCATCCCATATGGGTGCAGAGTCAAGACTCAGCAGCTCCATTTTCAATCAAGCACCCTGCTAATGGCCTTGGGAAGCAGCTGAAGATGGCTTGAATGCTTGGGCCTTGATACCTGTGTGGGAGACCTGGAAGATGCTCCTGGCTCCTGGCTCCTGGCTTTGGCTTGGTCCAGCCCTGGCCATGGTGGCCATCTAGGGAGTGAACCAGTGGATGGAAGATTTCTCTTGCTCTGTCTTTTCCTCTTTCTATCTGTAACTCTGACTTTCAAATAAATAAATAAATCTTAAACATATATATATATATATATATATATGAACCCACTGGAATATAAGCTCAGTGAAGACCAGTGGTTTTTTTTTTTTTCTACTCCTGTAGCCTAGAGTTGAGTGCTTCATACATATTTGTTGAGTGAGTGAGTGCCAACTTCCCATTAATCATGAAGCAGTGGTAAAACAAAGGTTGATTAGGATGGGCAAAATCCAGTACACTAGGTCTTAAGAAAAGAGTGGACAGAAAGCAGATGTGGGGGTGAGGGATTGGCCTCAGGGCCCCTTGCCTTTGTGGAAGAGGTTTTACAATGAGGGTTTCTGCCAACTCGCATGGCGGTGCTGTAAAAACTTAGAAAAGGGGTTCTTCCTCTGAATGGACACAAACTTGCCCTGGAGAGAAGTAAGGACAGGCAGAAGTCCCAGGGCTCAGCGAGGAGGGCTCACCAGGCACAATCCTATGACAGCCTAGGTCACAGGCCCACCCAGAGCACCTAGGTCAGAGGGGGCAGGGCACCTGTACACAGCAGAGGTCAACTGCTGTGCTTGATAGTCCTCACGACTTACGTCTCTCTGCATGGACATGGATGAGAAGCTTACTTTTGTACTGTTCTTCCAATCCCAGCTCCAGTGTAATCTGGCCTAATCCAATACATGTAACGTAACTATTCTAGGTACAAATTGAATTTAAGGGCTAAAATGATACCGTTCGTGTTCTCTAGGAATTTTCAATCTAGAGGAAAGATCACACAGTGTCCACACAGCTGGGTGAGATGAGAATTTGTAACCCAACTGTGCACAGAGAGCTGCTGTGCTGGGGGAAATGAATGGAAGACGCAGAGCATAGTTTGAATGACGTGGTAAGTACTCCAAAGGCTGAAGTGGGGTGCGAGCACTGGACAGGGAAAGATGCAGGAAGCAGAGGGCAAGAAAATGTAGGCTGTCTTTGGACCCAGGTGAGTCATCTTGCTGCTAGTGTGTGGTGTTTAGGGGTAGAGAAATGCACCCATTGCAAACCAATGAAATCTTCACTTAATATATACTAATTCGATCTTCTGTATATAAAGAGAATTGAAAATGAATCTCGATGTGAATGGAATGGGAGAGGGAGCGGGAGATGGGAGGGGTGTGAGTGGGAGGGAAATTATGGGGGGGGAAGCCATTGTAATCCATAAACTGTACTTTGGAAATTTACATTTACTAAATAAAAAAAAAAAAAGAGAGAGAGAGAAAGAAAAAGAAATGAACCCAGAACAAAGGAGGAGGAACTTGAACTCTTTCTGAGGAGTTGGAGCTGAATTCCGGCCCTAGAAGCTCCGGTGTGCTTGTGTAGTATCAGCATCTGCTCTTTGGAGGAGACAAACTAACATCAGGAATAATAAGAATGGGGGCTTTTTAGGTGTAAAAATGAAAATTATGATTGATTTGTATTTCTTGAAGTCTCCCCTGTAGGGTTTTCAATTACTCTGTGCTTCTCATAGAACCACAGAACCTTAGCACTGCAAGGAGGTTAATGCTTTGGAAGCTCTGACTGGCAGCATTTTTAGCTGGGTCGGGGCTTGCCGTCCTGGGGGGCTTTTGGCAATATCTGGACACAGTTTTGGTGGACACAGCTATGAGTTTACAGGTACTGCTAGTATCTAGTGTGTAGAGGCCAGGAACTCAGCTCAATAGCCAATGCACAGGGCAGCCTCCCCCAACAAAGGCTTACGATCCAAAATGCAGAAGGTGTCCAGGAGAAAACCCCTGGTACCCAGGGCAGCATCTGTGGGGAGGACACAGGCGCCTCTTCCACTGCTGACTGGCAAGTCACTAACATTCCCAGCCTCAGTTTCCCCAATTGGAAACTGAGGTGTCCAGCACCAGACTCACAGAGCTAGTTCAAACATTAACAGAAAATACAGTATTCGAGGCATCACGTCCCATGCTGAGGATGTCTGTTGGGACGAATGAAGTTCTTCCGCGATTTCAGAAGCAGTATGTCTCTCGGGAAGGGAGCAGAAGGTTTCACTAGCTTAGATCGTCTGTTATACAATGTTATCTGTGCAGGAATTATAGACAGCAGGAAATTATCAGGCTAGAATTATCTCCACGGGGGACCAGGAAAGAGGACAGCAGAGCCAGTTACATGCTTTCAAAGAGTGCCCACGTTCTGGCAGCAGGGAACAGCAGCCCCTAAACAGTATGGTTCTGAAGACTTAGTGGGTCTTTCAGAAAAGTTTTTGAGAATGACATTTGTGCTCTGAAACCTGTTTAAGACGGAAACTCTCAGTACTTTCCATAGGGCACCTGGGTGACAATATAATCAGCCACCTGCCCGCCGATCTCCCAATGAGATCAGTAAGAAGCCCCTTTAATCTGACCACTCCAGGAAATGCAAAGCCTCCGGCTTCTAAAGATGGCTCTTCAAAGAGAGCGAGCTACAGAATGCCGGTAATTCTCCTTTATTGGGAGATAAAAGGATTATTTCTACTCAGGCCTCGGCGCTGAGCTGGAGTGAAAAGCAGTAAAATCTGGCTGTCACTGCGTGTTAGTAGCTTGCGCAGCCTGGGGGCGGCAGGTCCATTAGACTCGGGACTGGAAGAAGCACGTAGACTCAGGCTGCATTAGTTCTGCGGAGCGTCCCCCATGGGGGCCGTGCTGGAATTGTAGTCTCCAAGGGGTCGGTTCCGGTTTATCTTCCCAAGGGTTCAGGTCCTGTGCTTCGTGTAGGCAAAGCACCTGAAGCCAGAGACATTGGTTCCCTGGGGTTTTCAATGGAGGCTGAGTTTCTCTCTCAGGGGTGGGAGGGCCCAACTGTGAACCTCGATTGCAGGCGATTTGTTAGGGACGGGGAGGTCTAACTGGCAATAGTTGCAAATAAACACATTGCAAACCTGGGAATTTCATGTGCTTTGGGTTGATTTAAGGAGTTAAGCACATTTCAGCAGTTTTTCCTGATTTTTAGGCTTTGTCCTATTTGAAATTCATTTTGGGTCAGTGACAGCCTCTCTACGGACCACTGTAACCTGAGTACTCCCCGAAGCTATGAGTTAAATATTTTTAGTGTCTTGGGCTCTTTGTTTAGCTGTGAGACTTTGACCCTTTCCTTCCCGGGATTGTTGTGATCCCCTAGTTTTGTTTCTGGTGGACCCGAGGGGGTAGCTCAGTGTCCCAGGACCTGCTCAAGCCACAGCTTACTCCTCTGCGCCAACTCTGTCTGCATCGTGTTTTCCACGGTCCCTGCAGCTGCCCTGGGCACTCCAGGCAGACCGGCCCTCTGTAGCCACCACCTGTGGAGTGGCTGTGCTGTGGCGCCATCTGCTCAGTAGCCACGGTCACGGCTAAGCCTCCCGCCCCCCGCTGTGAGCCCCGTCATTGTGGCTGTACCCCTCTGTGGTTGCTGTGCTCTCCACTCCACCTCCTTTGGCCTCAGTTCTGTCCTCAGCTGTGGATTATTCAGCATCACTGCCCTACCCTGGGATCCTGCTGCCGGAGCTCTGCCAGGAGGCAGGGCAATGGCTTGGCTCCCTTGTACTTTGCTGTCCCCCACACTTGCAGTTTCTATCCATCTATCTATTTAAAAGGTGGAGTGTATGCTCATGAAAAAGAGGGAGAAAGAGACAGGGAGCGAGGGATAGAGGGAGAGAGAGAATTCCTATCCACTGGTTCATTTCCCAAATGTCTGCAATAGAACTCAATCCAGGGCCCCCACATGGGTGGCAGGGGCCAAAGTACTTGAGTTATTACCTGCTGCTTCCCCAGCTGCACATTAGCAAGAAGCTGGAATCAGGAGAGGAGCTAAGGTTCGAACCCAGGCACCGCAACATGGGGCCCAGGTACCCTAAGTGCCGTCTGAACTGCTAGGTCGACTGCCCTCTATGCTTTGGCTTCACACAAGGTTGTTGTTTTTTTTTTTTTTTTTTTTTTTTTTTTTCTCCCTAGACATCTGCAAGTTTTAGCTCGAGTGGTTCAGTTGGAATGCATTCACCTGACCCAGAAATTGTATTTTCTTTTGACCTTCAGCTCTTCCCCTAATTCGCTCTCCTACTGCCTGACCCCATCCTCTGCAGAACGTTTCTACGTTCAGAAAACTTACGGTCCCCTTCTGAGGTGCTTCCTCTCCCACCTGCAGCTGCAAATGCCTGCCCGTGTCTGAACTTTCAAGATGGAAGTGGGTTCAGTTCTTTTCTTCGGAGGTTCTTAGAGCAATTAGGAAGTCACCGCTAGAGAGGAGAAGGTACCACTCAACGGACCTGGCAGCCTTCTCTGTGCCTTGGCACCACAGCTCTGCCAGACCCAGGAACCCTGGCAGGCCTCAAAGAACTGTGCAGAGATGGGTGAGCTGCCTACACAACCTGCTCTTCCCAGGCACACGGCTAGACGACATTTTCCACGAGTGGTCTGGAGCGGGGTGTAGTCCTGTGCCTGAGGTCAGCCCAACGGAGCAAGAGGAGACCATGTCTAGCATCCCCAGTCCCAGCTCAGGTAAACCACCTGGGTAACCCTGCACTCCTCCCCTCCTTCCACCCTGCCCATGCCCCACATAGCCACTGAGGGATGCTCCAGCAGCTGCCTGCCAAACATGGCAGGCTCTCTACCTGCCTGGATTTCTGAATTGACTGTGTAGTGGAACAATGCCATCCTTTTTGATTCTTTTCACCAGTGAGACTTTAATTAAGCAACAAGTAAATTTCTATTGTGCTAAGGCTACTGATACTTTGCAGTTCATCCATTACAAGTGTTTCCCCAACTAAAGCAGAAATTGGTCTCTTCTACGCAGTCTGCCTTAATGAAAACCTCTAACTGGTAGCATTGGCTTAGTAGAATGGCAGCAGGTGGCAAGAAAAGTGAGGTTGGCAGCTGAGACACAGGAGATCTGTTCAATAGTATCCCAGCCGACGCCCAGGAAGGCAAACTGTGTGCCTACTGAACCTGGGCCTGGGGAAATAGCGTTCACGGTGTATATTGACTGTTACAAGATGAGAAAAGAGTTAGTTGGTTTATGGACAAAAGTGAAGGGGAATTAAGAAAAGTCCTCAATTTGGAATCTTGAGGAATTGTGAATTCCAGCTTCTTTCGCTCCAGGACAGTACTGGCTACATGCTTTGTTTGGCTCAGTGCAGAATTAAAATGCAGGCAGACAATTCAACCAAATGTGAGCTCCTTCTAACTATGCAGATTGCAGCCAATAAAGCTGACCCTGGCCTCCATATTATGTAACAGTGAGAGATTTAACCAGCAAATACCCTTTAAGGCTCATCCTGGAGACCAGGAGGAGACTAAGGATGTGGTCCCCCACCTACTGCTGAAGATGGGATCAAGCTAACTCCATTGAGTTGAGAGACAGAGCCAAGAAACAAATCAGATCTGAGAATTATGTTCAGAAAGACTCCGCTGGTTTGTGAACCTGACTGGAAGCAAATAGAACAGAGGGCTTATAAGATTTGAAGAATTACATTGCCAAATAAGCCAAGAGATTTTTACCTTTGCCAACACTTAGAATTACCAGACTTTTAGGATTTAATCTGTCCTGTGGGTAGAAAATTGTATTTAATTAAACATGTACTTTCCTGATTCTTAGTGAGGCCAAGCATCTTAATTTTGGCCATTCCAGTTTCCTTTTCAATGAAATGCCTGTTTGTGACTTCCTATTTTTACACTCTATTTGTCTTTTAAAATAATCTTTTCAAATTTCATTTTTAGATATTCATCCTGTCCTCTATGTACTAATCTTTTTCCAGGTATATATATTGCAAATAGCTTTACCTACTTTGTGGATTGACTTTTTTTCCCAGTGTTAACACAGCCAAATTTTTCTTTCTTTGATAGTTTAATGTATCATCTACCTTGTTTAAGAGATCCTTCATTATCCCACGTCATAAAGATACCACTCTACATTTTGTTTTAAAAGGTTTTAAAGGGGCTAGCGCTGTGGCATAGCAGGCTAAACCTCTGCCTGTGGTGCCAGAATCCCATATGGGCACTGGTTTGTGTCCCAGCTGCTCCTCTTCCAATCCAGTTCTCTGCTCTGGCCTGGGAAAGCAGTAGAAGATGGCCCAAGTGCTTGGGCCCCTGCACCCACATGGGAGACCCAGAAGTAGCTCCTGTCTCCTGGCTTTGGATCTGCCCAGCTTCAGCCATTGCAGCCATTTGGGGAGTGAACCAGCAGATGGAAGACCTTTCTGTCTGTCTCTCTCTCTGTGTAACTCTCCTAAATAAATAAATAAAAATCTTTAAAAAAAGGTTTTAAAAATTTTTAAAAAGATTTACTTTTTTTTGAAATTCAGACTAATGGAGAGAGAGATACACACACACACTATATATATATGTATGTATATATATATATATATAGAGAGAGAGAGAGAGAGAGAGCGCAAGTGAGCTTCCATCTGTTGGTTCACTCCTACATGGCCTCAAAGGGCAGCGTTGAACCAGACTGAAGCTAGAAGTTAGGAGCTTTATCAGGGTCTCTCACTTGGGTGGCAGGGGCCAAACACTTGCACCATCTTCCACTGCTTTCCCAGGCCATTAACAGGAGGCTGGATTGGAAGTGGAGCAGTCAGGACTTGAACTGGTGACCATATGGGATGCTGGGATGGCAGGCAGTGGCTTTACCTGCTGTGCCGCAATGCTGGCCCCTTTAAAAGATTTAGAAGTCTTTTTTTTTTTCTCTCACACAAAAGTCTCTAATTCACCTGGTATTTGATTTTTGTGTATGGATTTAAATAAAGGTCAATTTTTTATTTCTTTCTCCGATCTTCTGATAATTGAAGGTTCAATTTCATGGAAAAGCATAATTAAAAGTTTCTTTTGGTACAAAAATATTGAAATTCATGTAGAGTTTTCAGAGTATGCATTTTCTGTGAATATACCCTTGTATATCAAGTTCTCATACATATAGGTATTTTTTTGGAATTGTTTTATTTTCTATTTGTGCCAATACCTCACTTTATTAAGTCACTCTGACTTTAATAATACACTTAAATATTTGATATAGCAAGCCTTCTCCCCTTCCTTGTTCTAATTTCTCCAGAAAGTTCGTGGCTATTCTTGGCTCTTGAATTATTCCATATCTTTCCTCCCTCCCTCCCTCCCTCCCTCCCTCCCTCCCTTCCTTCCTTCCTTCCCTTACTTATAAAATATTTTTAGTGAACCTATGATTTGCATTTTTATTTAATTTATTTGAGAGGAAGAGAGCAGAGACAGACAGATACAGAGACAGAGAGAGAGAGAGAGAGAAAGAGATGGCCCATCATCTGATTTACTCACCAAATGCCCACACAGCTGGGGCTGGGCCAGGTGGAAGCCAGGAGCTGAGAATTCAATCTTGGTCTCCTATGTGGATGTCAGCTGCCCAAATTCTTTTTTCTTTTTCTTTTTTTTTTTTTTTTTTAAGATTTATTTACTTATTTGAAAGGCAGAGTTAGAGAGAGGCAGAGGCAGAGAGAGAGAGAGAGAGAGAGAGAGGTCTTCCAACCACTGGTTCATTCCCTAATTGGCTGCAACAGCCAGAGTTGTGCTGATCTGAAGCCAGGAGCCAAGAGCTTCCTCCGGGTCTCCCACGCAGGTGTAGGGAACCAAGCACTTGGGCCATCTTCTACTGCTTTCCCAGGCCATAGCAGAGAGCTGGATGGGAAGTGGAGCAGCCGGGACTTGAACCGGTGCCCATATGGGATGCAGGCACTGCAGGCCGCAGCTTTACCCACTACTCCACAGCGCCGACCCCCTCCCACAGTGTGCGCATTAGCAGAAGCTGGAATCAGGAGTGGAGCTGCGACTTGAACCCGGCACTCTAATCTGTGAGGCTGGCATTCCAAGTGACATCTTAACTGCTATGCCAAACCCCAGCTCTCCATGTAAATTTTTTAAAATAGACTTATCAAGTTCAGCAAAATGTTTTAATTCACTTTTGATTGGGATTGCATTAACTTGTAGATCAGCTGGGAAAGTCAACATCTATAATACTGAATCTTACTCTCTGGGAGCATGTAATAACCTTTATTTATTTGTGTCTTTGTTTTCCTTGAGTTCTTATGTTAATGTAGTTGCTTGTAGAAAAGTCATTTTATCCACTGTTACTGATGAGAATAGTTAATGAGCTTATCTTAAGTTTATTAAGGTAGAAAATGAATAGGATTCCCACCCAGCTCCTAATCCACAGCTTTTTTTCTCCATCCCCTTCTCTCTCATTTCCTTTTAAACATGCAGCTTGGAGCTAGCATGGATTACATGACACCTGTCAAGTCATGAACAGCTAGAGCCAGTTATATCCATCTGTACTCATATTAGACTTTGTTCTGTGGGTGGACCCTCCTTGTCTGTTCTGTGGGTGGGCCCTCCCTGAACTCCTGGCCCCGTGCAGTAAATATTCTATTTTATGGACGTAGATAGCCCAGGGCATCAACGGCGGCGTGCTTGCTTAGAAAAGATAATATATGTACGATCGGAAACCTCATTCCTTTCTGTCTCACCCTCCACGCTCGTTTGTGGGAAAGACTTTAGATCATGTATGAAGCAGGTGTTTTTCTTTCTGTCAGCCTTTGAGTGCAAGAAAATAGACATATTTGTCAGCAAGAAAAGTGGTTCTTACCCAAAGGATGGCTTGAGTTTTGCAGCCAGTGTTTACAAAGTGAGCTTCTGCTCACACTAATCATGGCTAATGTCCGCTTCTTGATGAACAATAATCCTGCCGGAGACCCCATTTACCAGGCGGCCGCAGAGCTGCCGGGCCGTCTCGACAGGCTGGAAATCAAGTGAGCTCCAGGTATGAATAAGATACTGAGGATATACGAGCTTTTGAGACTACCAGCTGCCCTCATTTCAGAAGCAGGTCACTGATGGTAATAACAACCACGGACTCTAAGAAATAAGAGTCATGGAGATAGAAGAGTATGTTATGGAACAGAAGAGACTGCGACTGTTTGTATCTTTGGGGGGGGTAATGGTGCACCCACATCAGCAGGACCAGAATGCACAGAAGCAGGGAGCTATCGGGGACTGTGGAGAGAGACAGGAGCTCAGCCACAGCTGGTGGACGTCTGCTGAGAGAGGGGTGGGCCCGCTGGCTGGATGTGGAAGCCTCGCATCTCCCCAGCCCTCCAGCGGGGCCTGCTGCATGCTCTGTTGTCAGTGGTGAGCACTCGGTTCCCTGGTCCATTGGGCGGGCAGTGGAGGGAACAGAGGGCCGTGGGAGGAGAGACAGGGAGCCCAGGAGTCCGTGGGACAGGCAGGAGGAGCAGCCCAGCCTCTGGGACTGCTAGAAACCACAGGAAAAGGGTTTAAACTGATCTGACTGAAACGTGAGAGTACAGGACCACCTCAGCTACCTCTACTAAATTAGCCCCGAACCTACGAGCCATATCTCACTATTTATATTTTATTTATTTATTTAATGTTATTTTTTAAAAAAAGATTTTAGTTATTTATTTGAGAGGTAGAGTTACAGCGAATGAGAGAGAAAGAGAAAGGTCTTCCTTCTGCTAGTTCACTCCGCAAATGGCTGCAACAGCCGGAGATGCACCGATCCGAAGTCAGGAGCCAGGAGCTTCTTCCAGGCCTCCCACGTGGGTGCAGGGGCCCAAGCACTTGGGCCATCTTCTACTGCTTTCCCAGGCCACAGCAGAGAGCTGGATCGGAATAGGAGCAGCCGGGACTAGAACCGGCACCCATATGGGATGCAGGCGCTGCAGGCGGAACATTAACCTACTGTGCCATAGCACTGGCCCCATCACTGTTTATATTTTAAATACATCAAGACAGAAACCTCAGAACCTAAGATGGAATAGCACCCTGATGGCAGAACTCCAGAAGCAGTTGAGTTTGGGTTTTTAATCTTAAAATTTTTTCTTAATTTTAAGCTCTTTTTTCCCAATCACCCACCATCTCTCTTTTGATAATGTCCTCTTTTTTTTGGGAGGCAGCCTGATGTAGGGGAGAAAACATGGGATTTCTGGTCAGTCCTATGTCCATTTACATCCTGGTCATGTCACGTGCTGTGTGTGGGAGCAAGCAAATTGCTTACCCTGTGAGCTTCTCTTTTGTTCTGAAAAAGATGGTTGATCTTGGAGGCATCACGCAGGCTTACGGATGCTAATGCCAGGACAGGACTGGCCTGGGTGCTGACACTATCTGCTCTGAGCAGATACAATGGACAACGGCGAGCCACAATAACGTAGAACTCTGACCCACACTCTGTAGCTGCCAGCCTAGGAAACCAGTCCACTATCTATGGTAACCAATGCCGGAAGCCAACCTACCACCAAACCAGACTTAAAATTTGGTTTGCTGTGTTTTCTGAAATTGACCCAAGTCGGGGGCAGTACTGTTTGCCCGAGAAGCAGGACAGGCCTCCAGGTCTCAGAGCTCATCACATAGGAGGTGCTTGGCATCCAGACTTATTGACTTGAACTTGGCAGAGGGTTGCTGTGGGTGACCTCAGGCTCAGTGTGGGCTGAGTTGCTGTACTGGGGAAGCAGGGAGAGACTGACCAGGCTTGGTAGGCATTGCGTCCAGGGTCATCCTCCAGACAGATGACAGCTTAATGGTCTCTACATTCCAGCCAAATAGAAAAGTCCATCGCCATGTTGGCTGAACACGTGCATCCTCCCTGAGCAATGTCTCCCTGATTCTGGGCCCTCCAGGGTGCTTCTCTGCTAGGTCTGAGACTGGGGCACTCCTGGGATCCTTCCTCAGGGGCTGCTTCAGGGGACTGTATTGGCATAGCTTGTCCAGGCCCAGTGTCCCTGTTCCTTCTCTCAGTTTTCAGAGAGGCCAAGTGGGCTTGGTCTGCCAGCAGGGTCCTGTTATAACTGTGCAGGCCGTACACAATTCTTCCAGTTTGGATACGGTCTGAGTGTGGCCCAAAGACTTTTATGAGCTGTAAGGTTGGTCATGAACAGGTTGTGAGAAGACTGAGCCCTAGCTGGCATTGTGGCATAGCAGGTGGAAATGCTGCCAGTGACCCAGGCATTGTGGTTAGTGTCCCAGCTGCTCCCATTCTAATCCAGTTTGCTGCTAATGACCTGGGAAAAGAAGTGGAAGATGTCCCAAGTATCTGGGCCCCTGCCACCCACATGGGAGATCCACATGAAGCTCCTGGCTTCAGTCTGCCTAACCCTGGCCATTGTGGCCCTGGGGAGTGAACCAGCAGAGAGAAAATTGCTCTTTCTCTTTCTCTCCTCCTTTCTCTGTAACTCTGCCTTTCATATATGTAAATCAATATTTTAAAAAATGAAAGAAATGAGCCCAGGGGCCAGCATTGTGGTGCAGTGGGTTAAGCCACTGCCTGCAACATTAGCATTCCATATAGGCACCAGTTTGAGTCCTGGTTGCTCTACTTCTAATTCAGCTCTCTCTCTCTCTCTGTCTCTCCCTCTCTCTGTAACTCAGTATTAAACAAATCTTAAACCCAAACAGAGGGGCTGGCGCTGTGGCTCATTTGGTTAATCCTCTGCCTGTGGTGCCGGCATCCCATATGGGTGCCAGTTCTAGTCCTGGCTGCCCCTCTTCCAGTCCAGCTCTCTGCTATGGCCTGAGAAAGCAGTAAAAGATGGTCCAAGTCCTTGGATACCTGCACCCATGAGGGAGACCAGGAAGAAGCGCCTGGCTCCTGGCTTTGGATCTGCGCAGCTCCGGCCGTTGCGGCCATCTGGGGAGTGAACCAATGAAGGAAGACCTTTCTCTTTGTCTCTCCCTCTCACTGTCTGTAACTCTAACTCTCAAATAAAATAAATAAAATCTTTAAAAAAATTAAAAAAACCCAAACAGTACAAAAGCGAATGAACCCTACCCCTGCCTTGCTCTCTAGCTCCCTGTTTGGTGATGTGGTATCTTCTACCCACACTCATCTGCTGTGATGCTGTCCTTCCTGAAGTCCTCACCAGAGGAGAGCCAAAGAAACCCCTTCCCTATATGAAGTTACCCAGTCCCAGAATAGTTTATTATAATCACACACACACACACACACACACACACACACACACCCCAGACTAACGCAATCATCACGAGGTTTGCATAACTGGCTAACACTTTCTGCAGGAAGCTTTGGCCGACCAGTTGGGCGGTGCAGATTAGAAACGTACCTGAGCAGTTGGAGTTCACAGTCTCACGAGCTTTGCTTTTAACCCAAATAGTTCGAATCACGATGCCGTAGATGACACTGCAGGGAAGATCAAAGGCGTGTTACAACGACTGGTGGGTCGCCTGTGTGGTGACAGGTGGCTCCCTCCTGCGAGGAGTCTCAAATCCTTGGCGGGAGGGGTCCCTTAGCCATACCTTCCCCCTGTGCTTACTAAGACCAAAAGTGTCCAGAAAGACCAGCTCAGTGGAGCTGCTTCTTTCTTACGTGAGGAGGCTGAGGGCCGGCAAAGTTCAACAGTCTCCACCAGGTAAGCCAGGTGCTTGGAAGGACGATCCTGGTTAGAACTGAAGCCCGGGTTCGGAGCCGGAAGGCCCTGGGTTTGTGTCCTCTCCCGTTTGCTGTTGCTTGGCTTGGACTCAGTCTTTAAGGAACCTCTGTGACCCCTGCCCCTAATATCTGTGCCGCCATCCTCTCCTTTCAAGTGTGGGTGGGACCCACGGCTTGCCTCTCGCCAAGCCATGGCGGCACACGTGATGAGAGAGTGCACTGCTTGTCTCGCCAGTCTCTCTACTGCTGGCTCTGCAGCCCCAAAGAAATTAATTTGGTTGAGAACCTGAGGGAGCTTAGAAAGGTCCTTTGCTAATGAAGCCTCTGATGGCTCCTCAGCCCTGGCTAACACCTTGAGAGCTTTCTTGCCTAAACAGTTAACCCATGTCAAGACTCCTGACCCACAGAAACTCTGAGATAATGAATGTATGGTTTTGGGTCACTAGGCTTGTGATAATTTGCTATACAACCAAAGATAACCAATACACTGAACCTCAGCTGAGACGGTGTAACATGAGTTTGTAATACCAACTTCCTAGATTTTTTGAGTATCAAATGTGATAACACTTAACATGCCAAGCACAGTGCTTAAAAATTTATGGACTTAAAATATGCAGTTTCCTCCCCCGCTTCCTCCCTTTAAAATTTGTCACTATTTATTTGAGAGGCAGAAAAAGAGTGCTCCTAACTACTGGTTCACTTTCAAAATGCTTCTAACAATGTGCCAGGGGATTCCAATTCAACCCCATCAAGGTGGCATGTACCAATGCCATCTCACTAGTCAAAGTGATCAATTTCAGTTCACAATTGATCATAATGATAGGATTAAATGTCAAAGGGATCACATAAACAAGACTAGTGTCTGCTAATACTAACTGATAGAATTAAAAAGGAGAGAACGATCCAACATGGGAAGCGGGACACACACAGCAAACTCATAGAATGGCAGATGTCCTAAACAGCACTCTGGCCTCAGAATCATCCCTTAAGGCATTTGGATCTGGCTGGAGAGCCCATGAGAGTATTTTAGGCCAAGACACTCTGGCAAAAACAAAACAAAACGAAAAAGCAAAAAAAAAAAAAAAAAAAAAAAAAAACAAACAAAAAAAAAACAAAACAAAAACAAAAATCCCAGTGGAAAGAATGGGCCATCAAAGGAGATACCTTTCTCTGAAGGGAGGAGAAAACTTCCACTTTTAACTATGACCTTGTCTAAATAAGATCGGAGTCAGTGAACTCAAAAGGTTTCCATAGCGTTGGCAACTCATGACAAGAGTCTAGGATGATTAGTGTGGGGAGCAATCCGGACTAGACTAAGTTACTCGAATTAGGACTTATTCTATGCATCTGCTCTCCTCTGTGGGGAGCAGCTCGGACTAGACTAAGTTACTGGAATTAAGACTTATTCTATGCATCTGCTCTCCTACAATATGGCGCTGGGAGAGGAGAAAACAGCTTCTACCCAGCTGCCTCCAGTTCAACCAATAAACTGTAGGACTTGCTCCTGATTGGAGAGCAGCGTACTCGGCATGTGGGCAGCCGAGTTGGGATTGGCGGAGGAGGACTATAAAGGAGGAGAGAGACGGCATGCACCGGGAACATCTATGGGGAACATCTAAGGGGAACATCTGTGCAGCCCCCGAGAAAGCCGGCCGGCGGTGTGCCGCTCCCCTGCGGAAGTGGGGAATGTGGCCAGGGGGAACTGCCCTTCCACGGAGGTGGAAGGGATAGTAGCCAACCCGGGAAGAACCAGCAGCAAACCCGGGGAGGGCCGAGCAGACGAAAGAACAGCGCAGGGTCCTGTGTTGCTCCTCCACGAAGAGGGGGAGCGACATAATGGTGCCGTGACTCGGATATGAAGCCTGGGCAGGGCTTGGTGTCGTTCCTCCACGAAGAGGGGGAGCGACATAATGGTGCCGTGACTCGGATATGGAGCCTAGGCAGGGCTTAGTGTCGTTCCTCCACGAAGAGGGGGAGCGACAATTAGTGATGCCATAAACAAGAGTGTCAATTGTTAAGTCAACAACAGGAGTCACTGTGGACTTATTCCCCATGTAGGATCTCTGTCCTTAATGTGTTGTACAATGTGAATTAATGCTATAACTAGTACTCAAACAGTATTTTACACTTTGTGTTTCTGTGTGGGTGCAAACTGATGAAATCTTTACTTAATATATACTAAATTGATCTTCTGTATATAATGATAATTGAAAATGAATCTTGATGTGAATGGAATGGGAGAGGGAGCAGGAGATGGGAGGGTTGCGGGTGGGAGGGAAGTTATAGGGGGAGGGAAGCCATTGTAATCCAAAAGCTGTACTTTGGAAATTTGTATTTATTAAATAAAAGTTTAAAAAAAAACCAAAAAAACCAAAGTGCTTCTAACGGCCCTGGGCTCGGGGCCGAAGCCTGGAGCCAGGAACTCAGTCCAGAACTTTCACACAGGTGGTAGAAAATCAATTACTTGAGCCATCATTACTACTTCCAAGGGTCCACATTCGCAGGAAGCTAGAATCGGGTATCAAAATTGGGCATCAAATGCGGGCACTCTGATGTGGGACATTAGCGTCTGAATCACTAAGCCAGGCGTCCACCCCTCCGTTCCTGTCTTTTTGCATACTTTTTACCGTATGTCACATCCACTCTTGCATAATGTATGCTGTGCCTAACAGGAAATCAAAATGGTGATGACTCACAACCATTAGTAAATTTTGTATACTGTCTCTTTTGATAAATATAAAAATTTATATCCCCCTTTTAAAAAGTGACTCCCCCTGCCCCCTATCCATTTGAAAGGCAGAGTGACAGAGAGAGAGTCAGAGCTCTTCAGTCTACTGGTTCACCTCTCAAATGCCCACAACAGCCATGGCTGGACAGGGTGAAGCCCAGAGCCCAGGGCGCCATTCAGATCTCCCACGTGCGGGGCAGGGGCCCAATTGCTGGGCCATGATCTGCTGCCTCCCAGGACTTATTAGTTAAGTATCGGAAGCAGAACAGCTGAGACTCAAACCAGTACTCCAATACGGAGCATGAGCGTCCCAAGTGGCAGCTTAATCCACTGCATCACAAGGCTCCCCCGGGACTGTTTTTAAATATTATTTGACCTATCAAATTTATTAAAAACCTCAATCAAAAACTTTGGGACAAAGTGCTGCTTAATTTTAAGACTGTGCAGTCTTCTTTGTTGAGATCATGAGTTAAAAAAAAAAAAAAGAAAGGAAAATTCCAGCTCCAGTTGGCAGTAGCTGACAAAGCACTAATTGCTTTTAATGATCTTTAGACTATAACTTAATTAATGACTGTGCTAAATTCCTCTGTTCCTATTGTCTTTTCCTGTTCTTGCTCAGCAAACCCTACTGATTACTCCGGCAGAGCTCAGGACGCTTTTGGAACATCTCTCTTCTTTTTCATACACCTGTCCAGGGCTTTTCTGGAGTATGTCTGCCTTTACTATGCAACGAAGTTCTTAGTGAGTCTACTCTTCATCCGAAGTTGAATATTCACCTTGCTTCCCAGATAAATGAAATGCAAGGCAAGGTAACTACCAGCATGACATGCTCCTGGAGTGTGGCAGTTCTAACCCCAGTATTCAACTGATCAGCCATTCAAAGATTTATTGAACATTAGCTGTAAATAAAATGGAAAAGTTAACCAAGGTCTTATGCAATGGGGATCTGGTCCCAAGTCAGTCCCTCTTGTTCTACGTAGGACCAATCAGACGAGTGGGAAGCCAGTACTAGTTTTAACTGTTAGCCAGGAAGACACCCACTAACTCCAGTGCCTCTAACACTTATTGCCCCAACCGGGCAACTTCCTAAAGGGCAGTGGTCTTGCCTCAGAGAGACCTCCACGATGCCTCTCTCTTTTCTCACGTCCTGCATCTCATCCATCAGGTAGTTCGAGGATTGCTCCTTCACACTGACAATTTCCCGCCCCTTCCTCTCCCTCTCTGCTCTTCAGTGTTAATCAGGACTCTGCCATCTCTCAATTCACTGTGATACCTTGTTTAATGGCAGCAGCACGTATTTTGCTATATTGTAGAAGCATATGTTGATGATTTCTTTTGCAGTGGTAAAATACACATAAAAGCTGCTGTTCTGGCCATTTTTAATTGTCCAGTTCTGTAGCATTCAGTGTGTTCACATTACTGTGCAGCCATCACCACTGTCTGCCTGCAGCTGAAACTCTGCATTCATCAAACACAAGACTCCAGGACACTTCCTGAATTTTGTGTCATCCTTGCTCAGGGGCCGCGCTGATCTCTCACAATGCAAACTTGGTACATGTGCTGCTAATGCAAGAACCCCAGTTAATCTCCTGCCTGATTACTGTCGTAATTGTTTAACACCCCACTCTGCTGCTGTCTTTAAATCCCTTGCCCCTTGGGAGCTGGAACTTCGGGACAGAGAGCCATTTGCATGCTTCAAATCATTTTCTGCAGATGATGGAAAATCACTGGCTTCTCACCGTGCTCCAAACCAGGGGAACCTGGCTTCCCCCTTCCCTGACTTCAAGCCATGTTTCCACAAGATAATATCCAGTCCCCTTGGCGGAGCAGGCGAGACTCCCACTGGGTTCCTTTGCCTTGCCTGCCTCTTTCTCAATCTTCCTGCTCCCTCAACCCCACTGTCTCTGGGTGCATCTTCCCCCTGTGTTGGTCTGCTCGGTCCACAGGAGCAGGCCAACCAAACTCACCCAACCTCAGGGGTTCTCTGCAAGCGTCAGCTCCAGCCCTTTCCACCGCTCTGTGC